AGTGAAAAGAGAGATGAGGGAACAAAAGGTTATATTGGCAGAGTGGAGAAGATATGGAAAGAACAGGAAAGAGAAGCAGAATGAATTGAAAATGCAAAAGGGGCACATATGAAGAAAAAAACAGATGAAAGAGGGTTGTAGAATAAATGTGAAGAAATGTTCTTATTTCCACCGAGGCCTCTTTTCCTTCGCTCTCATCATTAGCCTATAGCTAAATATATCTTCTCATTTGTCCTAGCCAATTAATGCCACTAGTTCAGAAGTTGAAGATTTCTGTCACTCAGTTACTTATTCCTTGGACAGGACAGGAAAGTGTGACTGTTATTTCCACAACTTCAGCTTCACTACATATTTAGGAGTAATTAATGATACCTATTCTTGCTTCCCTCTGTCCTTCCCAGCTTCTTTTCTTTCGAAAAGCTGAATTTCTTAATCTGAACTGTTGTTTTTCCATGGTGGCAGAAAATCTCACCAAAGTCATTCTAGACTTCTCCAATCTTCCCCGGGCTTTGTTAGAGTTATAGAAACTCACGTAATTCCAAGGAATAATAGCAGAAAGGTAGGCTATGTGTGGATGTCCTTCAGCTCATAGACTTTGGGTTCTCAGTTGACACCAATTATCCTGTCACTGCCAAAAGATTTACTGTCCTGTGTGTAAGATCTTTAAGTATCTTCTGCTTCTAGATTGCAAGTCTGAGAACTGAGTACATGTCACGGCCACCCTCGTCCCGCAAGGAATGCCTCGACCACCGGAGCTCTTCTCACTGCAGTTTATTCCAGGATCTTTTTAACAATTGTATCTCCCTTCCCCTCTCTCTCCTCTCTCTCCTCTCTCTCTTTTTCTCTCTCCTCTCTCTTCTCTCTCTTTTCCTCTCTTTCTCCTTCCTCTTTTTCTTCTCCTCTCTCCCCGGGCAAACCTCTCCCAGCCCTTAAGTAGGCATGGGCTGCCAATCCCGGATTGCCAGGTGGGCACTGCCCATAGGTTCACACATATGCAGGCAGCTGATAATCACTGCGTGATCATAGCATAGGTCAGACTTTAGCCATAGGAGTGGATTATACATCTCCATCAGTTGTGATTCCATGCAGCTCGCTACAAGTACATAACTTGTAGACTGACCAGGTTACCAGGTCTTCAGCCTTTTCAGGAGCTTCCTATGCATGCATTGTCCAGCTGCCTAGCCTTTACAGTGTAAACCAATTTGCTGAAAGTCCCTTAACTATGTAACAGTCTATAGACTCTGTTTCCCTAGAGAAACCTAACACACTCACTAAGGCTCTGTTGAACTAAAGTCCATGCTGAAGGAACTCCAACTTCTTCCACACTGCCCAGTATGCTTGTTTGGGAAGGTACTTGTTATAATCCTATAATAATAGGGCTGCGGCAAAGAGTAAGAAAATAAAATATGTGATAGGTGAAAGCAGCAGATGTTGAATCCTAATAAACTGAAAAAAACAAAAACTGGGAATCAGCCTATTGATGTGTTATTATGTGTCTTACGACACTTCTTGTGCCTTTCTTTTCTCATGCTACTGGAGATTGAATTTGGGACCGTGTACATAATAGGCAAGAAAGTGCTCTACCTTTGAACTACACCCCTAGTCCTCTCTACTTTTTATTTTCCATCCTATAGATATCTATAAAGCTATTTTCAGTGATAGCTAGCTACTTGTCATCCGTCCCTTAGCAAATACTCCTTTTCTTGGAATACCTCTCTCATCCATCTGCCTAGACTGTGCCTTGTTCTTTAAGTTATCTAAACTACCACCTATCCTTGGAAGCTCTGCTTTTTGACACCAGGCTCCTCCACAGTCTGACACCCATTAGCATGCCTCCTTTCCAATACTCCTCACACTTGAGTTGACATTATTTCTCATTTTATTCTGTTCATGCAACTTTGCCAAGTTCTTAATTAAGAATTGGCTTTGCTACCTGTTCCCAAGTTATCTTCTGGGTCTCTTCAATAATATGGTAAGTTTGCAGGGAAGAAGGATTGCTCCTCTGTGTTGTACACATGCATCGTATCTTTGCCTTAAGCTGAATACACATGTCCAATTAAAAAATACAGACACCAAAACACAGCATCTAATGGATAAATGGATACTCAGTGAAAAATAACAAACCAGTGGGTTTCCTAACATTATTTCTCAATAAGCAAAAGAAAATAGCCATGGTGATATTTTATTATACATTGTTTTAATGTAGCATTTGCCTGCTGATAAGCCCATTTATTCAATTAGTTTACTTCCTGGGGAGGAAACATCAATATCATATTTTCTAGCCATAGTTATCTGATTTTCATATTCATTGTCTAAGATTTTGATCAGCAGATGCAGTATCCGAGATTATCCAAATATAGGCATCCACTCCTCAAAAATTACTTATATACTATGTCCAAGGAGGATTTGGAATGTAGGGAAACATGAATAGACTAAAGCTTATGTTCTGGAGAAAAGACGTTATAAACAAAATACAGAAGGGAAAGAATGAACCTAATTGCTATCAGATTAATTAGTTGGCTCCTCTAGAAGTAGAACACTTTAAAGAGATGTGCAGGAAAGAACAGCCAGGGCTGCTGGCACAGGCCTATAACCCTAGCTACTTGGGAAGTGAGGCGGGAGAATCTTGTGTTAGAGGCCTAACTTGACTACATAGTAACTTCAAGTAGAGCCTGGGCAACTGGTCATACTCTTTCTGAAAGTGAAAAATAAAAGATAAAATGGGGAGAGAATAAAACTCTAGTCAGAGTGCTTACCGAGTTTGTATGAGGCCCTGCCTGGCCTTCATACCTAGGAACAAGAGCAAAAACTGAGATAAAAACAGAATGCAAATGGTAGTTGCTAAAAGCCAGGACCTCTAGCTGGGCATAGTAGTGTGTATCTGTCCTGTAACTTGAGCTCTGGGAAGACTGATAGATTAGGAACATGACTTCAAGACCTTCTTGGGTTCCATAACAAAAATAACAACAACAACTAACAAATTCCAATTAAATCCTACTACCTACCATGCAGTTTGGTACAAATTATGAAAGTACCCTTAACCTACCTGGCTTATCTTTAAGGAGATAAGTCTCTCTACCCTTAGATTATTATGAGAATTACATCATTCATGAAAATGTTTAACCTGGTATAGATACAGAGTAGGCAATTAAGGCATAATATTAATTATGATTAATTAATTATAGTGATGACTAATTATTATTAATTAGTTATTATTAATTATAATGTTGGTACTCTGTTGAAACTAGTGAATAAACTTTCTGAATAACTGTTTCAAAAATCAGATTTCCTTGCATGATAGCATATGTTATGAAAAAATACATTCTTTCTCTCTACACGTACAAATATGGAAAAAGATAGCTCGACTCAAACTCCTCTCTCTGAATGTGAAATTTTCATTGCCATGGCAGAGGCCCCCACTATAGCTGCCTGTTGTTTGGCAGATGAAGACTCGCTGGAGACCTCCAGTCTGAAAACTGCCTCCCTGAACCACTCAGCTCACAGTATGGACCCTGCTGCTAGATGCTTGACTACAAAGCCAACTCTCTTGTTTCAGTTTGGAACTGTTTTGAAGAGCCACCCTAACTCTTCCTGGCAACTTCTGCTGTATTTTCTTCCCTTATTCTCTCACAGAAGTTGTTCCCAAGACCTACTCTCCATAAATATACTCCTTCATATCCTTTGAGAGACTGCTTTTCTGCAAACCTGACTCACGCATGGGCAAAATACTGTTGTTGAACAGGGTAGGCAAATGTCTCTGTAAAGATCCAGATAGTCATAAGAGTATGTATGTCATTCTTGTGCCATGTAGTCTCTGCCATGTCCCTTCAACTCTGCCATTCTTGTATGGAAGCAGCCTCAGACTATACAAAGTAAATAAAGAATAAGAAAGAAAAAACATAGGCAGCTTGGGGTATATTTCAGTGTTACTGCACTTGTCTGTCGTAAGGCCTTGAATTCTATCCCCGGTACTGCCAGAAATAAATGAATAAATAAAATTTAGTTTATATGCACTAAATTTCTATTTTGAATTTTATCTAAGTTTTACTTGCTCTAGAATATTTTTATTTAAGCATTTTTGTTTCTTAAACCATATTAAAAATTACAAATAATAAAACCTGCCTAGTGTGGTGTACTGGCACACACTCTTAATGCCAGCATGTGGGAGGCACAGGCAGGAAGATCTCTCTAAGTTAGAGAGCAATAGTGAGTTTGACAACCAGAGCTGCATAATAGAAAGACCCTACCAGAAGAAGGAGGGGGAGGAAGAAGAGGAAGGAGGAGGAGGAGGAGGAAAGAAAAAAGAAAGAGAGAGAGAGGAAAGAAAGAAAGAAAGAAAGAAAGAAAGAAAGAAAGAAAGAAAGAAAGAAAGAAAGAAAGAAAGAAAGAAAGAAAGAAAGAGAAAATCCATCCTTAGCTCACAAGAGTTCAAAACTATCATAAAGTTAGATTTGACCAATAGGTCATAGTTTTCCAACTCCTGAGCTGAATAAAAGATTAAGAAGATTAAGACAGTAATGTACACACGAAGCTACTGTTTTAGTATACAGATATACAGAACTTGATATTATGGAACCCCAGGTCTTTTATGGAGCATAGAGAAGACCTTTTTCTGTCTCCAGGTCAAAAGAACATATGAAAAAGAAAAATGGGAAAAATATTCATGATTCCTTTTGAACATTACAGCACCATGAAAATTATATTCAGCAAAAAAAAAATGTTTCAGTGCATACAGTGGGAGGTTTTCCACTGAAAATGCTATCTCTATCACTAAATAGAATTAGGGGATTTAAGTCATTGTCTTGTGACTGTACCTTTTCATTCAAAAACATAAACACACCCAAATGTGAGATGGTAAATGCCTATAATACCAACACTTGTGAGATAGATGCAGGAAGATAAGAAATTCAACATCATTGGCTATATAACGATTGCAAAGTCAGCCTGAACTACATTGAACCTTGTTGCAAAAAAAAAGTAAACAATTGTAATTCGTTTGGTATACCTTTAATATATACAAAGAATAGACCTAAATGACCTACTGATACAGAATAGAGAAAAAAAGATACAAGCTTATACCTGGAAAAATGTTAGTCTACCCAAATTTAACAACCTTCCTGTAGTTCATTTCTTTCTAGAAGAAACAGCCTAGAACAATTTATGTGACTGTGAAAGACATGTTTACTCCCTGATCCTGAAGCCCGCTGGCTTTAGAGTTTAGCCATAGTGTTTCCTTTTGTTCCTGATTGGGTTTATCTTCCCATTTCAGTACGCCTATAACTGCCTTGTAACCCCTTCCTTCCCTCTGTGATCATTTTCATTTTTACTCTATTTCTGTATAAACCTGCCCTTGAGACAGAATGGTTCCTCTTCCTGTATTCCTTCAGCATGGGGAGTAGTATGAGATTTCTCAAACACTCCTTCACTAGTCCTTAATTCCCTTCCATTATTCCCTCGCTCACATCCTCTGAATAAATGAATACAGTATTGCTTAGGGATTGATAGGAACAAGAGGAACTGACAGAAATCTTCTCTATGGTGTTATACTGCTATACTGAGAAATATGGAGACTAGGGGTGCTGATCTCCGATGAGACCAACTGCAGTAAGTGGCTAATAACTATGTCCTTGACTTTTGAGGTGTCCAGATTCTTCTCTCTAGAAACTTGAAGACTAATTTGGTCCACGTTTGTCATGATGGGTTCTGATGCCAGAATCTGGGTAGGAGAACTGTCATGAAACACATTGTCCATAATGTATTGCTTATATAACTCTACCACCTTCTGCTCCAGATACTCGTTGAGCACTGCATTTGAAATAGGCTTCTGCATTTGCAGGCTGCTTTTCTCTTTGATGCTGGTTATTCTCCAGTAGGATGAGTGCCGCTGAATGGGTTTGAGGGGAAATTCAGTGGGCTGAATGGAAATGGAGTCCTCCATGGGCAAAGGAATCTCAGATGACCTCAGCAAAGGGCCATCTTCAAAGCTGCTCTCTGAGGGGAAATCTGCCATTACTGAGTTAATGGCCATCACCTGTCCTCCCGCAATATGTAAGTCATTGTAATTTTTGCAAATACTTTTGCAAGAAGGTGGGACCAAATAGGTCTCTCTGATGGCTTCTCTGCAAATGTCAACTGTGGCCAAGGTTGGACTTTCAAATACAGGGTTGGGGTTTGTTTGCAGCACTGTTCTGCTCTGGCTTCTGCCGTGTTGACTCCCTCTCGCATGCACTGATGAGATGAACTTGCTGGAGGATTTGCAGCTCACGTAAACACTTTGGACCTGTGTTTCATTCACAGAGGAATAGGAAAGAGCAGCAACAGAACTTGTCTCCTTGCCTTGTTCTCCAGTGACGGGTTCATTATAAGATGCACAGTTCCAATGAATGTCGTTCCAGTAGGCAAGTCCACTGAGATACCCTTCTGACAGCATTCTGTAAAGAGAAGTCATGAGAAATAGTAGGAGAAGACTATAAAAAAATTGTCAGTTGATATATCAAAAATGAATGATGATGAATTTATTCATTCATTCACTGCCCAGGCCCATTACTGTGTACCTGAAGTATACCAAGCTGATGGTATATGCTGGAGATACAAAGATGAAACACTAACTCTCATGCTTCTCTTCTGGAAGAAAATAAATACTGAATACACATAGCCTCAATATTACATTACTGGAGATTATAACAGTGGTAGGCACAAGACCATGAAACCCAATCTAAACAGGCTGCCCATGCATACTTCAGCATTGCTTGGGGGAGGGGCATGTTTCACATTTTTTTCCAGGCACAAAAGTACCATAACATAGTCCAGAGCAAAAAGGGAGGACTCGCAGGATGTGGCTTAAGGTATGTAGCATTTCAGCTCAAGGGTAAAGGGTAAGTAGGAATTGGGACTTCCAACATAAAATTATAAGAAGACACCGTGGCCTATTGGGAACATAATAAAAAGCTAAGAAGAAATGGGACTGATAGGATAGCCCTGAATCTGATTACAAAGGGCCTTGGGTGTTGGACAAAAGAGTTATGTTGGACAGAAAGGGAAGTGGAGAAATTGCCATCTGGAGAGTCACATGGCTAGTGTGTTAGGATAAAAAGATTGAAGAAATATGTGACAAAGTATACTGAAACAAAGACTGTAATCTTTCTCATTTGATAAAATTTTCTTCCTGGGGATTAGATAGCAATTGGGATATAGGAGGGATTCTAAAAACTATTTGGTAAGTTGATCAAACATTTGACAAGAATTCTGAAACTAATTCATGACTGATACATTATGAAAAGAACAGAGTTTCCCCCCCCCCACACCGCTTTAAAGTCATGTTGACTTTTTCTTTTTATCCCCCTCACTTCGCAGAATATATCCTAGAATGTCTACACTAAACTGACCAGTTTACCTCTACCCTCGTTATTAAAATTCTTTCCTGACAGCAGGCCTTCCCCCACACCTCCCCTCCCCCTTCCACATCTTTAGCAGTTGTCATTGAAGTCTGGGATGGATAGAACAAGCCAGGAACCAGCAGCTGCATTTTCTAAAAAAAGGAACAGGCTGGCATTCCTGGAATTTGAGCAACAGGCAACAGTGAAGAGAACTGGTTCTCTTTGAGCCCAAGGGCTCGGCTACTAAAACAGACCTGTCAGTTTGACACTGAAAATGAAAAGTCAAAAAGAACTTGACATTATCTTTTTCAGTTTTCAGGCCCTGTTTTACATTCATGTTTGCCAAGTAAATAAAATGTTTCTTTTGGGGAAAATGTGGTCAGATGTAATAAATGAGAAAAGAATAAATAAAAATTTGCACAAAGACAATGTTATAAATATCCATATTTTCAAAATTATATCCAAAGTATATTCATCAATAATGTTCATTATTCTCTACGCAAAGTTATACAACATAAAAATACAAAGCTAAGCTTTCACCAACTCTATGAATAATAATGCTTGCTTGTATTCTTAGTAAAATTTAAAAGATAAAAAGAAAATATGATGTTTATCTTGAAAAATACTTTCGAAGTACAGTTCAATAAAACTAGTGGCTAGTAGCTAGATGAAAAGAAAAAAGTTTAAATACATGAGAGGATAATTAGGCAGGCAACAAAGATGACCGTAAGGGCGCTAATAGTGACGAAGCTGTTTCCCCATCCTAACTACACCCGGCTGTAGCATGCCATTCGACATCTAAGTTCCAAATATTGTGTGTCAGGGCAAAAGTTCACTGATAACTTTCTAATTTTTATATAGACTTTAGAAAATCCTAGCAGAGACTGGTCTCACTCTGTTCCCCTTTGAAACATCCTTAGCCTTCACCATCCACAACAGCGTGAAGTGGTTAAAAGAACCTTGACTGACAAAGAGTATTTCCTACATATTAGGAAACTATGGGCCCAAATTTGAGAGAAGGGTGGCAAAGATTTCACAAAATATAGCAGAAGAGGCATATGGATGCGCTGGTTTCTTTTTATTTTTCTATCTCCACAATTATTGCCGACAACTAATCCTGCAGGGCATTGATATCCAGTAGACCTAACAAATTCAAAAGACACTGCCAGTGTGTATCTGTGAAGGTTAATATTGATTGTCAATTTGCCAGAATCTTGAATTACTTAGAGGAGAAACTGCTGAGCATGCTTGTTTGTCTAAATCAGGTTCTTCCGGGAATGCCTGTGGGGAGTTAGCTGGAACAGAGATAGGAAGACACATTCTAACTGCGGGTGGCATCATTCCGTGGGCTAGGATTCTGGAGGAAATTCAAGAGGAGAGCGAGCTGGCCACTAAAACTCCATCATTCTCTGTACCCTGACTGCAGACAAAATGAGAGCAGCTGCCTGCTGCTTCCCCCCTCCTCTCGCTGCCATGACTTCCCCACGAAGATGCACCATTTCCTGAAACTGTGAGCCAAAATACTCATTTTCATCAAGCTGCTTCTGCCAAGACGTTTCTGGCACAGCAGCAATATAAGTGACTAATGCAGAATCAGAACAGGGACAGCCACTCAGTACAGAGGTTCCTAAAAGAACCAGAAATGAAATTACCATCTTACTCAACTATACCATTCTTCCTGGATGTATACCCGAAGAACCCTACGTCAGTCCACCACATAGATGTTTCAAAGCCATATTTATAATGTACTGTTCACAATAGTCAAGATACAGAATCAGATGCCTGAATATCCATTAATGATAAATGGATCAAGAAAATGTGGTAGGTATGTGTGTGTATACACCAGAATTTTACTCTGCTATAAAGAATGAAATTATGATACTCACAGGAAATAACTGGAAGTTAAGATCATTATATTAAGTGAAATAGACTCAGAAAAATGTTATTTTTTATATATTTTATATTCTGTATATTTTTATACAGAATCTATATTTAAATTGCTTCCACACACATATACACATATGAACCTGCATATAGCATGAGAGTATTAATGTGGGTAATATGAATAAAGGGAGAAGGGAGGACAAGAGAAGGTCATGGACTACCCGTGTCATGAAAGGAGAAAGACAGTCTGAGAAAGGAAGGAGATTTCCAAGAAGCGGAGGGAGAGAGAGATGGCAGCGAATAGAAACAGAGAATAGTGTTACATGTATGTGTTCTAATGAAACCCATATATTTGTATGCTAACCACAGCATTCAATGCTCTCTTCTTGCCTCCTCAGGCACCGGAGACATGTGGGTTACATATACATACATGCACGTACTCACACATTACCATAAAGTAAAAAGAAATAAATCCTTTTTTTAAAAGTAGGGCTGGGGGACTATCTCGGTGTCATAGGACTTACTTGCCTGGCAGTTGCAAAGTTGTGGATTTAATCCAAGTTCCACAAAAGTAAAAATTATTTAAAAACTACAGAAAAACATTTTAGAGTAACTAAGAAGAAACAAAAAGTAGGTGGTTATCCCTGTCCAGCTGGATCGGGGTGACAAAAGAGGCTGTCAAAGTGAACATTCCAGGGCTCCAAAGCCCAGGATTGACTAAACAGCACAGTGGATCGGTTGAAGGCACTATAGATAGGAGAGAATGTCAACACACGTGACTAAGTCTCTCTCATCACCCTCGAGTTGGGCAATGATAGACACCAGTCTACGGTGTATTATTTTTCAGAGTAATACAAGCCTTAAGAGTCTTTCTTGAAGAGCCCGACTTTCTTATCCCTGATCCCATGCAGATAAATGCCAAATCTCCCATCGTTTCTCATCCCGCTCTTCATATTCATCAATCTGATCTGACAGAGGCTTCTCTCGAGGCGTGGGAACATTTATGAAAACTACTGAGAGTCTCCAGTCCTTCACAATAGTGGCAGAAGGCCTAGAATTTTGTTATTTGTGAAGAGGTTTGTTAGTGTTGTGATTATGGTAAATCCAGTCTCCAGCAGTCTACCTGGGCATGGGAGGCCGAAAAAGGAGGATCATGGAATGTAAAAGCAGCCTTTACTATAGGCATAAAAAACCCCTGCCATTCTTGTATATGGAGCCAAGTGCAGATTAGAAAATTGCAGAAGCAGAAGGTGAATCCTGGGAGGAAAGAGTGGGTAATGAGGTCAGTGAAACCCACTGAGACAGACAAGCTTGACTGTATTCCATCTAACTTAAGAAATGTTAAGCATTTTAATCAAAAAATCCAAACTCTGAAATGCTCCAATGATGGAGGAAGGTCATTGGCTAATAAAGGAACTGCCTTGGCCCATTTTATTGGTTAGAGGATAGGTGGGAGGAGTAAACAGAACAGAACGCTGGGAGGAAGAGGAAGTGAGCTCAGACTCAACAGCTCTCCTCTCGGGAGCAGACGCCTCAGAGAGAGACGCCATGCCCCACTCCTGGGCAGACACACGCCATGAAGCAAGCCGCCAGGTTAGACATGCTGAACCTTTCCCGGTAAGACTGGTGCTCACCGATTATTAGAGATGGGTTGATTGGGATAACAGAATTAGCCAGTAAGGGCTAGGGTTAAAGGGCCAAGCGGTGTTTAAAAGAATACAGTGTCTGTGTAATTATTTCGGGGCATAAGCTAGCTGTGCGGGCGGCTGGGGTGCTGGGGACGCAGCCCCGCCGCCCTTAATACTACACTCCAATGTTTGAATATTTTTGAATTCCAGCAGAACACCATAAAAGTACAACTCCAGTCTTAATCTCATGTGTTAATCTAAGTTCCGGTGCACCAATATCTTGTATAATGTCTTCAGTGGCGTTGTGCACATGAAAAGGTATATATGAGACATACTTTTTGTATTTCCAGTTGCCTCCTGTTCCTAAAATGTATCATTATGCATATGCAAATATTTCAAAATCTTTAACAAAACACTTCTGCTCGCATGCATGTCCGATCAAAGATTCCCAGCCTGACGTGCAAGGAAGAAGATTCAGAATACAGAGAATGTCGACAGTAAAGTCAAGGTGAGCTTCAGCCAGCTGAGAGGCTGTCGTGAGG